AAACTTCGGTTTTCTAGTAAGCGCATCTAAGCGAAGATCGAGGGCCTTAGACATAAACCTCCCCTTTCATTGTTGGCTATAGAGATTTCCGTAAGCAATTTGTGCTGTTAACTAGCAATCAAGGGCGGACCCGTCCTTTTGAAAGTGAAAGGGATTGCTTGCTTATTTCTAAACTTTCTCATTACTTCAGGACGAGATCTCACTGAAGGAGTGGCACACCTCGTTGCGAACAGCGCACAAGGTCTCGTCGGAGCTGCTGCAACGAATGGGACGAAAAGCGATCAAGATCTATGGCGTGAACCACGACCCAATGCTCAGCGAGACGGAGCGACCCGCTTCGGTCTCGAAGTACATGAATCGAGCGTCAAGTGTGGATTCCACCGTCTGAGTACTGCCCCCGCGCTCTTCTCCCACAGCGACCGTTGCTTCTGTGTAAATACGGCTGTCATAGTTGAGTTCTAGTTCACTGAATCTGCTATATCGAAGACGGGACCTCTCACCCTCTGGCGATCTGCCTACTTTCCGTTATGATCGTGGCCGACGGGCCGTCCAACCCGAAGGCATCTCCCCTTTCCCAACGTTTGTGATTGCTATCATTGTTGACTATATGTTTTTGGTGACCCTTGTCATTTTCTGATGTGGTTAACCTCTCTGGACTTTCTGGGTATTTGATTTATCATTTCATGATCAGTGTGACCTGCACAGCATCTCCACACCGAACAACTTCCAGCTTTTTCTAGCTGTTAATGTGATTCCTGGGCAACTAGCAGCACTCTTATAATCCGATTAATCACTATTCACAGAACATATCACCTAACTTGCAAATAAATGTCTTTCACAACTTTTGAGACTGCTACTCGTCGCTGACCGCAGTAGCGCAATCATCGGGATCTCTGAGTTGATATTGTAGATTGTTGATAAAGTACATTCCTATGAATAACTTTCTTATCTACCATTGGAGCAATCGCTGAAAGCTTCGATTGATGTGCAACTTATTGCTATTTCTTTCCAAATAAAGAACTACAGAAAATATACTCAGCAATAGCGGATGATTGATTGCCATGCACTACAAGTAGGAATACAGGCAGGGTGAATATCGGTCGAGGATTCCTCAACGGCTTGTCGAGGATTTTTGCCTGATCAGTTACGCTCTCCCGCGCGGACATTCACACTCGCCATGCGCGAGCCGTCTGTGCTCTCCGCGCGTACATTCACTCTCGGCACTCGCACAGTACAGAGCCATGGTCGAGGAATTCCTCGACGTTATTCACCCTCATTACCACAGAAAACGATACCTTAAAGGAATCTTCCACGGAAAGAGTGATCATTTTGTCTTGTGTGTAGGATTAGTATTATCGAAACTAACGCTTATGTTCCGTTCTTTTTGCTATGCTCATGAGGCTAGGGGCCTAAGGGGTATCGTTTTTCTGTGGTAATGGAGGCGGAGCTTTTTCCGCGGAAGATTCCTTTAACCTCGTACTGAGTACTTCCCAGGCCGTAAAAAATGTAACGATGCCTTATCTAGCTCGAGCTAATGCTCGTGAAATTCAGTATGAATGGGATCTCCTCTCTTGCACTCCTGCCTGACTCTATGGAGAAAATGATGTCTTCAATGAAAGTCTCAAAAATGTTGATTGGTTTGCTGCCTTCGAAGGTACCAATCGACTTATGAGTAATAACATAGGTTCTGCTCTCTGGTTACCATAGGGTAGCATACATGTCCTCTCCAAAGAGAGCTTCCATCGTCTAGGAGGGATGTGTAGCCTCAGCAACAAACCTCTACTAGCACGAGTTTTTTTTTATATCTTTGAACACTGGGGAGGTTTCCTCAAGTGGGCCAAGTGGCACTTACACGGGCATTTAAATGGACAAGGCCATTTGTGCCGTTGTGATTTTGTTGAAAATACCATGGGAATAGTTAATCTCGTTGCGTTGTTACTAATTAAAATTTCAATAAGAGAGGCAGCCAACGGCTCTTCATGAGTGAGTTTCACCCGAGTACTAATTCAGCTGAGGGCTGGCTTATTTGACTGGAGGGCGATTACTTAGCCCCGAAGGTGATTGGGAGATTGTTGTTCTATGTAGAATCTGGTTCAGAGCCTAAAGGAGATGAATCGTGCCACGAATTCTCACGACACTAAATTAATTGTGCGCAAGACCTGCTTTGAGTGGTTTGAAAGCCTACCTAAGAGGAAGGGCGATGCTACCGTTGGATGGGTAAGAGAATTCTTTGAACCTACTCCAACTGCCCATGGGTGCTTCGAGGGTGAAGCGCTAGCTCATTCTTCCTCTCTGATTACCCGCGTACATTCTTCCTCTTCTGTACTTCGCACTAAGCCTCCATTTCGCGCCGGGGTAAAATAACCAACCCGTTAGATTACTCGACTGAGTATTTATATAACACTTATGCAGTTGGTCTATCGTGCGCACACGCAAATAAGCAATCCCACATATCTCAACACTTACCCAAGGTAATGGATGGGCTCTTTCCAGTGGGAATTGCAGCCAGACCCAGCCAAAAACCTGGTTGCCGTATCCTCTGCGACTCGACTGAACTCAACGGCCTTGTGCGTGAATACAGACAACCGCATCTATGTATATTTGAGGAGTTCTAAGACATTGACCTCAGCTGAATAAGCAACCGGTGACTGCCACGAAGTGCAATCCGACTTCAGACATTGGTATGCTCACGTGCTCAAGACGGACGTGATCGGATTACTTTGATCAAGTTGTCCGTAACCTTACTTTATTCTTATGTTTTTTGCTTTTCTCTCTCTCTTTGCAGCAATAATTTACAATTACAATTGGCAATTACATATTTCTGTTTACCGTATATTCATTAATTGCTACATTTAGAATATTGCCCAGGATTGATGATTCAAACTCCATGCTTCGAGGAGCATGTTGTCAAGTTAGGAAAACTGCAGCACACACAAAAGTTATGATTTCAGAAAGAAAGAACTGCGCGTTATGCTGCATCGCAGTGCTGAGATTTCCATCTTCCACTTTATAGCAGGAAGACTTCCGACATTTAAATAAACTTGATAGTCTCTGAAAGTCGACTTGTAGATCTCTTCTTTCTTTTTATCTACCTTCTTATGCGCCGTCTGAAGGAATCCTTGTGCTCCCAAGCAAGAACTAAGGGTCTTGCATGACACTGTGAGCATCCGGTCGCCATCGATACTCCTATCAATCCTTATTATTTAGCGCATCAAGCAACTTACATTGGGCATTGGGCGGAAGTGGTGTAGTGACAAGTGGCGCGCTCACCACGCGAGCGGTCCGGGATCAAATCCTGGGTCGTGAGTCGCCCGGGCCAACCAAGCCTTCCATCCCTCCGGGGTCGGTTAATTGGTACCAGACTTGTCTGGGAGGATAAAAACACTGACTTGAACATCGGCTGGCCCCCGCAAGTCATTGTATAGGCCACATCGCATTCAAATGCCACTGCGAATGTACAAATGGAAGTAGAATGCGTGCCGCATCCCAAAAAGGGATTGATCAACGGCAAATGCTTTATCCTTTTTATTTTATGGCAACTGAGTCGGCGCATCGATCCTCTCGCAGGTGGTGGAGGGAAGTAAGCAAACCAGCCCTTTTGGCGTTTCTGCTGGGGCCGTATGCTGAATGTTGGGGAGGGGATGGGGTCCCCGACGGTCGACGGACTACTTCAACTCGGTCCTTAAAACCGCCTCAATTTGATGCTTACCTCAGGACTAAGCCTTAAAGAGAGGACGGACTTGCGAGAGAGCGCAGGTACGCCCTCTCTCCAAGGCTTAGTCCTGGGGTAAGCAAACCAGCCCTTTTGGCGGAGCTGCTGGACCTAGCTGCACCACTTCGTCATCACTCTCCTACCGTACCGACCGAGTTCAAGTAGTCCGTCGACCTCGGGACCCCATCCCCTCCCCAACATTCAGCATACGGCCCCAGCAGAAACGCCAAAAGGGCTGGTTTGCTTACCTCGAAGG